AGTAGTAGTAGTGGTGGTAGCAGTAGTAGTAGTAGTCGTCGTCGTCGTCGTCGTCGTCGTAGTGGTAGTCGTTGTCGTCGTCGTCGTCGTCGTCGCAGTAGTCGCAGTAGTCGTCGTAGTACGACTCGCAGTAGTAGTAGTAGCAGTAGTAGTGGTAGTAGTAGTAGTAGTAGTAGTAGTAGTAGTAGTAGTAGTAGTAGTAGTAGTAGTAGTAGTAGTAGTAGTAGTAGTAGTAGTAGTAGTAGTAGTAGTAGTAGTAGTAGTAGTAGTAGTAGTAGTAGTAGTAGTAGTAGTAGTAGTAGTAGTAGTAGTAGTAGAGTAGTAGTAGTAGCCGTAGTCGTAGTCGTAGTCGTAGTCGTAGTCGCAGTCGGAGTCGGAGTCGGAGTCGTAGTAGTAGTAGCAGTAGTAGTAGTAGTAGTAGTAGTCGTAGTAGTAGTAGTAGTAGTAGTAGTAGTAGTAGTAGTAGTAGTAGTAGTAGTAGTAGTAGTAGTAGTATAGTAGTAGTAGTAGTAGTAGTAGTAGTAGTAGTCGTAGTAGTAGTAGTCTAGTAGTAGTAGTAGTAGTAGTAGTAGTAGAAGTAGTAGTCGTAGTCGTCGTCGTAGTAGTAGTAGCAGTCGTAGTCGTCGTCGTCGTCCCGTCGTTTCGTCGTCGTAGTAAGTTTAGTAGTAGTAGTAGAAAGTAGTAGTAGTAGAAGTAGTAGTAGTAGTAGTAGTAGCAGTAGTAGTAGTAGTAGTAGTAGTAGTAGTAGTATTAGTCGTAGTCGTAGTCGTAGTAGTAGTCGTAGTCGTAGTCGTAGTCGTAGTCGTAGTCGTAGTCGTAGTCGTAGTCGTAGTCGTAGTCGTAGTCGTAGTCGTACTCGTAGTGGTGGTAGTTGTAATAGTAGTAATGGTAGTAGTAGTAGTAGTGGCAGCAGTAGTAGTAGTGGTGGTGGTAGTGGTAGTAGTAGTAGTAGTGGTGGTAGCAGTAGTAGTAGTGGTAGTAGTAGTCGTAATAGTAGTAGTAGTAGTAGTAGTAGTAGTAGTAGTAGTAGTAGTATTAGTAGTAGTAGTAGTAGTAGTAGTGGTGGTGAAGGTAGTGGTAGTAGTAGCAGTAGTAGTAGTGGTGGTAGTAGTAGTAGTCGTCGTCGTCGTCGTCGTCGTCGTCGTCGTCGTCGTCGTAGTCGTCGTCGTCGTCGTCGTCGCAGTAGTCGCAGTAGTCGTCGTAGTACGACTAGTAGTAGTAGTAGTAGTAGTAGTAGTAGTAGTAGTAGTAGTAGGAGTAGTCGTAGTGTAGTCGTCGTCGTCGTCCCGTTTCGTCGCCGTCGTCGTAGTAGTAGTAGTAGTAGCAGTAGTTTGTAGTAGTAGTAGTAGTAGTAGTAGTGTAGTAGTAGTAGTAGCAGTCGTAGTAGTAGTAGTAGTAGTAGTAGTAGTTTAGTTTAGTAGTAGTAGTGGAAGTAGTAGAAGTAGTAGTAGTAGTAGTAGTAGTAGTCGTCGTCGTCGTTCGTTCGACGTCGTCGTCGTCGTCGTCGTCGTAGTCCGTCGTCGTCGTCGTCGTCGTCGCCGTCGTAGTAGTAGTAGTAGTAGTAGTAGTAGTAGTAGTAGTAGTAGTAGTAGTAGTAGTAGTAGTAGTAGTAGTGTAGTAGTAGTAGGGTTAGTAGTAGTAGTAGTAGAAGTTAGTAGTAGTCGAGTAGGTGTAGACGAGTAGTAGTAGTAGTACTAGTAGTAGTAGGTAAAGTAGTAGAGAGTAGTTAGTAGTAGTAGTAGTAGTCGGAAGTCGTAGAGTAGTAGTAGTAGTAGTCAGTAGTAGTAGTAGTAGTATTAGTAGTAGTTAGTACTAGTAGTAGTACTAGTAGTAGTACTAGTAGTAGTACTAGTCGTAGTACTAGTAGTAGTTGTAGTGGTGGTGAAAGAGCGCGTTCTGTGGTCGCTTGGGGGGGGGAGGGGGGTTGAAACCGCCCCCCCTTGCTGGATGGGAGGGGGGGGTGTTCGAACCGCCCTCCCCCCCCTCCCCCCTGCTTGCCCTCTCCTCGGGCCGGCGCTTGCGTCGGCGGCGGCTGGCGACGGCGGCGGGGACGACGATTTCCATTTCTGGGCCGGCGCCGGCGCCTGCGGCGGCGGGCGGCGGTGGTGGGGAGCGTCGACGAGGACGACGGTGGTGGTGGTGGTGGTGGGTTGTGGTGGTGGTGGTGGCGGCGGTGGTGCTTGTGGTGGTGGTGGTGTGGTGGTTTGTTGTGGTGTTAGTGGTTGTGGCGGTGGGTGGTGGTGGTGGTGGTGGTGGTTTGGTGGTGGTGTTGTGGTGGTTTGTGCTGATGGTGGTTGGTTGTAGTGGTGGTGGTGATGGTTTGGTGGTGGTGTGGTGGTGGTTTGTTGTGGTGGTGGTGGGTTGTGGTTGTGGCGGTGGTTTGTAGAGGTGGTGCTGGTGCTGGTGGGGGTGGCGGTGGTGGTGGTGATGGTGTGGTGGTTTGTGGTGGTGGTGGGTTGTGCTGCTAGTACTGGTGGTGGTTGTGGCGGTGGTGGTGGTGTTGCGGTAGATTGTGGTGGTGGGGGTAGTGGTGGTGGGTTTTTGTTGTAGTGGCGGTGATGGTGAGTTGTGGTGGTGGTGGTTGTTGTGGTGTGGTTGTGGTGTGGCGGTGGTGGTTTGTGGTGGTGGTGGTTGGGGTGAATTGTGGTGGTGGCGGTGGTTTGTGGATGTTTGTTGTGGTGGTGGTGGTGGTGTTGGCGGTGGTGGTGGTGGTGTGGTGGTTTGTGGTGGTGGCGGTGGGTTGTGCTGCTAGTACTGGTGGTGGTTGTGGCGGTGGTGGTGGTGGTGGTGGTGTGGTAGATTGTGTCGGTGGTGGTAGTGGTGGTGGGTTTTTGTGGTGATGGTGGTGGTGATGGTGGGTTGTGGTGGTTGCTGTGGTGGTGGTGGTGGTTGTGTGGTGGCTGTGGTGGTGGTGGTGGTTGTGTGGTGCTGTTGGTGGTGGTGGTAGTGGAATGAGGCGGTGGTGGTGGGGTAGTGGTGGTGATGGTGGTAGTGGTGGTAAGTGTCGCTGCGCCGTCGCTGGCGCCAGCGCCGGCGCTGCTGGCCGCCGCCAGCGCCAGCGCCGACGCGAGGGGGGGGGGGTTGAAACAAACCCCCGCCCACCCCCTGGGCTGCCTCTGGTCATCGTCGCTGCGTCCCCGCCGTGGGCGCTGCTGGCGGCCGCCAGCGCCGGCGCTGGCTCCGAGGGTGGGGGTGTTTGATGTATCGATAGTGAGATCGATTGTGATATCGATAGTGGGATCGATACTGAGATTGCCGAGTAGTAGTAGTAGTAGTAGTAGTAGTAGTAGTAGTAGTAGTAGTAGTAGTAGTAGTAGTAAAAGTCGTAGTAGTAGTAGTAGTAGTAGTAGTCGTCGTCGTCGTCGTCGTCGTCGTCGTCGTCGTCGTCGTCGTCGTCGTCGTCGTCGTCGTGTACATGTTGTGCGTGGGTGTGTGGTGGTATAGTAGTAGTAGTAGTAGAGGAGGAGGAGGAACTAGAAGTAGTAGTAGTAGTAGTAGTAGTAGGAGTAGTAGTAGTAGTAGTGTAAGTGTCGTAGTGGTAGTAGTAGTAGTCGTGTAGTGGTTTCGCTAGGAGTGGTAAGTATGGTTAGTAGTGTAGTGGTAGAGTAGTAAGTAGTAGTAGTAGTCAGTATAGGAGTAGTGGTATAGTCGTAGTAGTAGTAGTAGTTAGTAGTAGTAGTAGTAGTAGTAGTAGTATAGTAGTAGTAGTAGTAGGAGTAGTAGTCGTAGTAGTAGTAGTAGTAGTAGTAGCTAGTGTAGGCGGTAGTAGCGTATAGAAGTAGGAATGGGTATGGTCTTTGCAGTAGTATAGTCTTAGTAGTAGTAGAGTAGTAAGTAGTATTGAGTAATAGTAGTAGTTAGTAGTAGTAGTAGTAGTAGATGATAGTAGTACTAGCATAGTAAGTGTTGTTGGTGGTGGTAGTAGCAGTAGTGGTAGTAGTAATAGTAGTAGTAGTAGTAGTAGTAGTCGTAGTAGTAAAAGTCGTAGTAGTAGTAGTAGTAGTAGTAGTAGTAGTAGTAGCAGTAGCAGTAGCAGTAGTAGCACTCGTAGTTTTAGTAGCAGTAGTCGTAGTAGCAGTAGTAGTAGTTGTAGTAGTAGTAGTAGTAGTAGTCGTCGTAGTCGTAGCTGTAGTTGTAGTAGTGGTCGTAGTCGTAGTTTTAGTCGGAATCGTAGTCATAGTCGCAGTCGTAGTTGTAGTCCCATTTGTAGTAGTAGTCGTAGTAGTAATAGAAGTAGGCGTAATAGTAGTAGTAATAGTAGTAGCAGTAGTAGTAGCAGTAGCAGTCGTAGTCTCAGTATTAGTAGAGTAGTAGTAGTAGTAGTAGTAGTAGTAGTAGTAGTAGTAGTAGTAGTAGTGGTAGTAGTAGTAGTCGTCGTAGTACTAGTAGTACTAGTAGTACTAGTAGTAGTAGTAGTAGTAGTAGTAGTAGTAGTAGTAGTAGTGTAGTAGTTGTAGTAGCGGTGGTGGTAGTAGTAAGTAGTGAAGTAGTAGTAGTAGTAGTAGTAGTAGTAGTAGTAGTAGTAGTAGTCGTAGTAGTCGTAGTAGTCGTAGTAGTAGTAGTAGTAGTAGTAGTAGTAGTAGTAGTAGTAGTAGTAGTAGTGGTACTGGTACTGGTACTGGTAGTGGTAGTGGTAGTAGTAGTAGTAGTAGTAGTGGTGGTGGTGGTAGTAGTAGTAGTAGTGGTAGTAGTAGTAGTAGTGGTGATGTTTATAGTCGTAGTACTAGTCGTAGTAGTAGTCGTCACCGTTAGAGTAGGAGGAGGGCGAGACGTATTAAGAGAAGGACTGGGTGTAGAAACGCCTGACTAGTGGCAGTGGTATTGGTAGTCGTGGCAATCGGAGGAGAAGGAGAAGTAGAATCAGCAGCAGGATTTGCAGGGTGAGCAGGGAGATCACCGCCGACCCGGGCCTCTGAGGCCTGGTCACGGCCTGCCCGACTTGTCCCCGTGGCCTCCCCAGCCACCGGCTCGGCGGGCGCAGCGCCGCGGCGCCATCCGAGGTGGCGCCCGAGGGGCACGCTGAGCGCCTGGGGCTGAGGCCTGGCTTCAAGCTGGTGCTGATTGGAGGGAAGGACCGGGGTTGCGCAGAAGGGTGGCGGCGCGAACGGGGGTGGCTTCCTGCGAAGGCACGGGGTTCTCTCTATAACCCCCCCCCGCCGTCCCCCCGCCGTCTCGGAAGCCTTTTCGGAGGCTTCCGAGGTCCTTCTCGGAGACCACCGTCCTTCATGGAAGTCCGTTCCCGTCGCCCTGCCCCTGTGTGCGCGCCGCCAAAGGAGACCACCAGCTTGACCAAGGAGGAGCTGAAGAAGAGGCTGAAGAATAAACGCCCCCTGAGCCTCACGTTCATCCATGGGAAGCAGAAGGTGACAGAGGAGAAGGCGAAGGGGCAGAAGGCGATGGACGCGAAGGAAAAGCTGCGCGGCGCGGTCAAGGCGAAAAAGCCGAAGGAGGATGGCGATGCCCTGTTCAACATCTTCAGGAGTGCGGTCATGTGATCATGGCAGGGCTGCCGATTGACGACGTTCACAGCGTGGGGATCGAGATTTCGTCTAGTGTTTTTTGTCAGTCTCGGCGGTCTTGGATTTGTTGTGTTTATTCTCGGACTTGGTTTCAAACGTTTCACACTCCAGCTAAGCAGTAGAAAGGCGATGTTCTGCGATGCGTTCGCCGAACTGGTTCTGTCTGCATCTTTCCGGAGGAGAGCATCTATTTCCCCGGTGGCCTGGCACAGTCAGCGCACCGCGCTTGGAAGACCCGGTTCGGCGCGCAGCGCGCACGAAAAGGATGCGAGCGAAGGAACATGGAAGGAGGATGCAAGGTACAAGGATGGGCCTGAGCTTGAATAGGCGAAAAGCCGATTGGCCACCGACAGGAACTCACCTACACACCACCAGCTCGCCTGCATCAGATCGGATCGTGCCCCGTTCTTGGTGTGTCTGCCTGCGGTGTTTCGTTTCACTCCTGTTGTTCCAGCCACACAGTGTGGAGAGACGCGTTGATCGCCTTGCTCCTTGAAGTAAAATAATAGCATTCACATTGGCGATGTCGGGAACTTGAGACGATCTGCGTCATCTTTGGGTTGCTGCGGTCGGAGGTTGCAGGAACGTTCCGATTCTGGCCAGGTCTGAGGTCCCAGAGGGAGCCCAAAGCCTCGCGTTCTCCGCGCGTCGTTCCGAGAGCCGCTGGCGCCCATACAAACATACCCATGCTTGACAAGCTCTCGGCTGGTGTTAAAGGAGGGTGAGGGGGCCCAGGGCGCTAGGTAATCGCACGGAACAGTCCCACCGTTGGTCACAGTTGGCCACGTGTTTTGTTACGTTTGTTCGACTCGGCCGAAATGTTTTAGCATTTGGGAGGACAACGTCGTCGGGCCGATCCCCAGACAAGGGGATTCGTGACGATGTCCGGGGTCGCTCGGGGAGGGCAAAGTGGAGGAGGAAGAGGAGGAGTGACACAACGCAGAGAAGGAGGATGAGGAGGAGGAAGAAAAAGGAAGAGCAGGAGGAGATTGAGAGGATGGGTAAGAGGGGACGGAGAAGAGGGGTTGAAGGGAGCACCGGGAAGAAGGCCAGAGTGAAGGGCGTGAGCCTCGAACGGCCAGCCGAGTCATTGTGGCTTGGAGCTTCTTGTCCACGACGCGAGGCAGGCGCGCGCGCAGGTTTCTCAGCCGGGGTGCATCCTTGGCCACGAGAGTGTTCCACCGGGTTGTGCCCGCGACGCCCCTGTGCCCGAGCACGTGCTGATACTCTTGGGGCCACATTGGGGCCCTCCTGTGGGTGGCGTCCTGCGGCCTCTGTCTCATCCCCTGGGTGTGGCCGTGATGCCGCTCCGCGCCCACTGCCAGGCTGCCTCAGCACAGGCTGGACGCACCGGCCACTCCTGACGAAGGTCTTCGCGCAGTGAGTGCCCTTCCGCTTCCACCCGCCTTGCGCGGCCGCCCTCCGCCTCCTTCTCCCCTCCTGCAGCCGGAAGATTAGATCGCCCGCTCCTAGCCTACTAGAGCGCGCATGCGGATTGTCCCTGCCGCGCTGAGACGTCAGAAAGTGTGTGGCGTCATGCTTCCCTACCGTTCTTCCTTCCCGGCCGTCCTTACCGATTTAGCGCCCGAGTCGCACCGCAGCAGCCCTTCCGTGGCCACGACAGCAACTGGGATCCAAGGCGCCGCCTGTCCAAAGAGTCTGGCGTCATGCTTTGGCTCTCCTGGGGCCTGGTTTGTTCAAACCCTGGGCCCTCCACGGGGCACTTCTCAATTTTTCCCCCGTGCGCTCTTGGGGCCCATTGGGGCTCCTGGCTTGCCCCCGTTAGGCCGTGGCCCTCTCGCCCCTTGTTCAAGACCGGGCCCACCTGCCCCCCGTCCCCACCACCCTCCCCGTGGTCTAGGTCCCCCCCCCGTGCCCCCTGACTCTTTATTCCCCACCCCCGTGCGTCGGGCTCTTGTTTTGAATATAATATTGCGGTCGCGACCTTGTCCTCCCGCCTCCCTCCTCCGTTCTGCCGTCCTCCTGCCATTTACCTGGCCATTTCCTGCCTCCCAGCTTGCCTCCTGCTTCGCCGTCCTGCGTGACCTCTCCGTGCCTGGGGGTGCTGCGAACTGCGCAACTGTCGCCACTCGAGGGCTGCTGGGGGGCCATCGGACTGACGTGATGCGCGGACTCAGACTAAACCTTGCCATCCCTTGGATGGGCTGCGACCTGCTCAACTGGTGCCGCACTCGAGGGCTGCTGGGGGGTCCAGCGGAGTGACGTCACACGCAGACTCAAATTAGACCTCGCCATCCCTTGGGGGGGCTGCGACCTGCGCTACTGGTGTTATTTTCGAGGGCTGCTGGAAGGTCCAGCGGAGTGACGTCACACGCAGACTCAAATTAGACTTCGCCATCCCTTGGGGGGGCTTCGGCCTGCGCAACTGGTGTTATTTTCGAGGGCTGCTGGGGAGCCCAGTGGAGTGACGTCACACACGCAGACGCAAATTAGACCTCGCCATCCCTTGGGGGGGCTGCGACCTGCGCAACTGGTGTTATGTTCGAGGGCTGCTGGGGGGTCCAGCGGAGTGACGTCACACGCATATTCAAATTTGACCTCGCCATCCTTTTGGGGTTGCTGCGACCTGCGCAACTGGTGTTATTTTCGAGGGCTGCTGGGGGTCCAGCGGAGTGACGTCACAAGCAGACCCATGTTCAACCTCGCCATCCTTGGGGGGGCGCGAACTGTGCTACTGTCGCCACTTTCGAGGGCTGCTGGGGAGTTCAGCGGAGTGACGTCACACGCAGACCCATGTTAGACCTCGCCATGCCTGGGAGGCTGCGAACGGCAAAAGCACCGCCACTCTCAAGGGCTACTGAGGGGGTAAAGCGGAGTAACGCCACGCGCAGACTCATGTTAAACCTCGCCATCCATGGGGGTTGTGAACTGCACAACCCTCGTTACGTTCGAGGTCTGCTGGGGGTCCAGCGGAGTGACGTCATACGCAGACTCAGGCTCGACCTTGCCATCCTTGGGGGGCTGCGAACTGTGCAACCGTCGCCACTCTCGAGGGTTGCGGGGGGTCCAGCGGAGTGACGTCACACGCAGACTCAAATTCGGCTTCGCCATTCTTGGGGGGCTGCGAACTGCGCAATTGTAGACACTTTCGAGGGTTGCTGGGGGTCCAGCGGAGTGACGTCATGTTGTGGAGCACCAGAGCGACATTACGCGGACCGCGTTGTTGGTCCAGCGCGCAATTGGGAAATGATTGCCACTTGCTTCCCTCAGATTGCCTTTGTGGCGTTTCGTTTTCGGCTTCCTTCCACCGCCTCACTACTGCTGTCGCGTCGGCTTGGCAGTCCCTTATGTCATTGTCCTGCCCCTCGTCCCACCCCGTTTCCTCTTCGAGCCTGAGATTGTCAGTCCTCGTTATTCGGTTCCTCTCGTGTTAGTCGTGCGGCGATTCTCGCTGCCATCAGAAATTCGACTCTGGACAAGCTTCCCGTTGCCACTTAGTGCAGATGGGTCGGGCACGTCGCAGGGTGGTTCCCAATCTCTTAATACGGGGTGATTGGTATTACTGTTGTGCCTCCGCCTGACACACCCGCCTCTTATCTTCGTATCCTAAGATCGGTCTTCACGTATACTCTGACTTACTCATCGTGAAATCCCGATTTGTTCTTAGTCAGACTTGTGCATCCTTCATCTCTCCTCTCTTCTCCTCCCCTCCCCCCTCCCTTCCATCACCTATCTGCCCCCCCTTCTTCTCTCTCCGCAGTTACGTTGTAATCGCACATAGCGCACTCATTCTCAGACGCGCACGCAATACTAGTCACCCATACTCAGATTCACTCACACCCAGACCCGCTCATACTCACACCTGCCCATACACAGGCCCACTGCCACCCGGACTCACCCACATCAAGATTCATTCGCACGGAGGCCCAATCGTATTCAGGCTCATTCGTACCACGACGCACTCACACACAGAACCACTCACTCACAGACCCGCTCTGACTCAGACTCGCTCGCACTCAGACTCTCGTGACGATATTGCAAGCGAGGCGCTGGCTCCAGCACCCCAAGGGGGAGCCTTCAGCGGGTGCCCCCCCCCCTGTTCGCGGTCAGATTGCGGGGATGAGTCAGGCGGTGTTCTCGCTTTCCCCCCCCAAGTTCCTTTTTTCCTCGGGAGGTATCATGCCCACCGCGACATGGCAGGCGTGGCGCTTCGGCACCCAAAGGGGAAGCCGCCAGGGGGTGCTGCACTCCCCCGTTCGCGGCCAGGGTGTGGGGATGTCTCAAGCGGCGTGCCTGTTTCACCCCCCAGGGTTTCGCCTCTCTCTGGGAAGTATCATGCCCACAGCGATACAGCAGGCGTGGCGCATCGGCACCACAAGGGAGAGCCGTCAGGGGGTGTTGCGCTCCCCCGTTCACGGCTGCAGCGCGTGGATGTCTCAAGCGGTTTGTTGGTTCCGGCCCCATCAGACGTTTCCTTTTGTTGGTGGTCCAAGGCTTACCGCGGCACTCAGGCGTGGCAGTTGGTCACCCCAAGGAGGGGCCGCCAGGAGGATGGAGCCCCCCCCCCTCATTCCGTTCGCGCCCGGTGTTTCTTTTGGGGGTCTCATGCGCACAGAGAGCCGCCATGGGGTGTTGCACTCCCTCTTTCGCGGCAAGAGCGTGTGGATATTTTAAGCGGTTTGCTTGTTTCGGCGCCGCCGACATCTCGTCGTTGGTGGTTCAATGCTCACCTCCAAATGCTAGGCGTAGCACTTGGGTACCCCAAGGGGGGGAGCGCCATGGTGTGTTGCACTCCCCCGTTCGCGGCCAGATCGTAGGGATGTCTCAAGCGGTTTGCTTGTTCCGCCCATTCGTTTTTTCATGTGGTGGTCCACTGCTCACAGCGATACAGCAGGCGTTGCACGTGATCACCCCAAGAGGGAGCTCCCAGGGGTATGACATCCCCCCGTTTGCGGCAATCTTGCCGGGATGTCTCAATCTGTTTTCTTGGTTGCGACCAGAGTGTAGAGATGTATAAGCGGTTGGTTTGGTTGGCCCCCCTCGGACGTTTTGTTCTTTTTGGTGGTGCAATGCTCACCGCGATGTAGCAGGTGTGGCAATGTTGTATCCCAAGGAGGAGCCGCCATGTGGGTAGGACAGTTCCCAGTTCGCGGCTAGATCATGGGGATACCTCAGAAGCGGTTTGCTTGTTCTGGCCCCACGTGTTTCTTTGTTGTTAAAGCAGACTGTGGGGATGTATCAAGCGCTTGTCCCCGGAATCCTTTCTTTGGGTGGGCTCATGTTCAACGCGATCTAGCAGGCATGGCACTTGGTTACCCCAAGGGGGCGTCAAACCCTAGGCAGTCA